AGGGACTGAAAGAAAACAAAATAGAAATCGAAAGTGAAACCCTAAATTGACAAATAGGAATATTTGTTTTATTTTCTTTAGTAAATAAATAAAAAAAAACTTCTGCTATCATATTTTATTTTGAAACATGGGAGATAGGAAGGAGCGATTTTTTTATTTCATTTTCTTAAAAAGATAAATAATTGTCAAATTTTGAGTGATGGTGACATCGAAAAATTCATACTTAGTACACAAGATAAGATAAGTATTATCCTTAAAGTTGTATCTTTTAACCATTCTCTTTTTATTTGAACACGTGGAAAAGTTCAAACTCAAAATGAATATTTTAAATCAACTAGTATTTATCTATTCAACTGTCGTTATAAGACTACATAACTAATCTTTGAATAAACCGTGGTAAGATGATCATAAAGAGTACATTAACTAATTTTTTTAATAAACTGTGGCAAATTCGAAAGAGAAACAACATAATTTACATGCATTTAACATAAAATAAATATGTAGTTACAAATGTATAGCAGAGAGTTTAAATTTTAATAAAAAAAAATAGCATAATTCAAATAAATCTCAAATTTAAATATAATAGTAAAATACAATAATAAAGAAATGTCGCATTTAAAAGTCACTTATGTGACCGATACGTCAAACAAATTTTTTTTTCTCTTTTTTCATGCAAAAGACATCAAAAATAAGGATAATAGCATTATGAACTTCCCAACTTGCAATTAAGTTCCTTCCATTTACAGCCCTAGGATGAAAGTTCTTAGAAATTTCCTTATGTCCTTTTCACAATAAAAATAATTTTTCATTAATTTATTCATTAAATATTTAAAGAAAACCTCAATTAATTTCAAAACTCTAACCCCTAACTGAATTAACTATGATTTTAAATAATCTTTCCACGTAGATATCTACTCTCAAATTAAATGAACAAATTAGACAATATACCTACTCGATATAGATCAACCAGTTAAGATACCTCTACATGTTGTACTATATCTTAACAGTTAAGATATTTCCACATCGTGTAAGAGGTCATAGGTTTGAAATAGTCTTTTTTTTCTTTAAGAAATACTATTGGATTGGTTGTAACCCCGCCTTCTAGTTTCTAGTTAGATAGTTAGATTCTTGATTTGTTGACTAGAAAGATAAAAGAATGAAAAATAAGAGAGAAGAGAATTTTCTTTTCCAAAAATAAATAATTATGAAAATTTTGGTCAACAAAAAAATATTCTTGCTAGCACATTGGGAGGTAAATTGTTGGAGATGGGATTGTTCCAAATAAGGAGATAAGTTTTGAACTTATTCCTTGCATGTCCATGAATGAGGGAAATTTCTTAGAAATTTTCTTTCATCCTTTTCCCAATAAAAATAATTTTTTAAATGTAAATGGGTGGAATATTTATCTTAAATAGCAAGAATTTCAAGTTTACTTGACTTAGAAACATTGCAGTGGAAACAAGACCTATGGCTATCATGTAAGATACAAAAAAATATATTTCTAGTCAATTAGAGTCAATGCTAATAAAGTATTAAATATACCAAATAATAATAACAAAGTATTAAATATGTACGAGGAACAATGACATCATATAATGCTTCCCATCATGGAAACATAAAAATATATATTACAATAGTAGAAATTTGTATCCTTGTAAATATTTTTATTCTAGTTATTAAAATTGGCATAAAAGTACTTTTATCTTTATTATTAAATATTTGCATTATATTTAACAAAGTAAGTGTTAAATTCCTTTTAAAACTCAATTACTCAAAAGCGTTAAATCATTCTTGATTTTTAACCTATAAAAAAACGATTATAAAGAGTATTAAAATCGATCAAAGTCGTGCATATTTGGTACGTATCGCTAGCCTAACAAGTTTTAAAAAATATTTATGACCAAGTAAAAAATTCAAAGTATGAATATAAAGTTTGGTGTTCCATTACTATTTTGGTTTGAGTTAAATTATATATAGTTTTTATTTGATAATAGAGAGAATAAATAGAGATATATGAACTTAAAATATAACTTATTAAACCAAAATTTTGTTTTAAAAGTGACTATAAATTTTAACATTACTTTTATACAGTATTTAAAGTTGAATAATACTTACCTCGTGATTGATCAGTACTATCACCGTTGTGTTTTTACTTTTTAACACATATAGATGGAAATAGAAGAAGGAAAAGAGCGTAGATATTTATTTTCATTATTTTAAATATTAAATAGTTGTCAAATTTTGAATCGTGGTCAATATAAAGATTCTTGCTCAGTTGGAGATAAGTGTTAGGGATAAAACTTAGCTTCTAGCTAGTTATTTTTAACAAAAAAATATTATGTATTTTTACATTTCTCTTAGTTGTCATTCATATTATCTATTTTTGCATTTCTCTTAGTTGTCATACATTTAACAATTGTCGTGCATAGAAGGAAAAAAAAGACATTTAAAAGATACAAATGTTATTGGTCTGTTTTTTTTTTGTCGTAAAATGTTTCTTAACCACTTGAACTATACTCAAGTTGACGTTAAAACTCTAATTAATTTCGTCACTTATTTTAACGATAAAATTATTTCGAGCATTTTGACCTCAACAAATAGGATAAAAGATTGTTAAGTTCGAATCACGGCTCCAAAAGTCGAGATGGTGTATCTTATTCCAAATTCCAAATAAGGATATAGCATTTTGAACTAATTCTCTCAGAATTCAGTTCCTTCCTTTTACTATCTAGAATGAAAGTTCTTAGAAATTTCCTTTTATCCTTTTCACAACAAAATAATTTTCTTTTAACTTTATTCGTTACCTATTTAAAGAAAATCTCAATTGATTTCAGAACTCTAATGACTAACTTAATTACCTATGATTTTAAGTAGCCTTTCCACGTAGATATCTACTCATCAAATAATTAAATGAACAAAAATAAAATACCTATATTATTAAGTAGGTGTTAAGTAATTTATTGATAATCAACGTAAACTTATCTTAGCCGACATGTAAGAGACCGTAAGTTTGAATCTCCTGCCGAATGCAAAATTATTAAACAAATAAGAAAGTAATTTAGTGAAAAAAAATATAGTAAGAAAGTCAAATATAGCTTTTTTTTTTTCCTTAAAGCTCCGTAAATATGGAGTTGGAGATCAACCTTCAAAATTAAGAAAGGTAATAAATTCAAATCGACACCTAAAATAGTCTTTAAAAAATCAATGTCTAAAATAGTTTGTTAGTTTTTTGAGTTATGCAACAAGTGGGGTAGTAAGATTCAAAATAAGTTGGGTAGAAGGTAATCTACCCTTCAACTTTTTATTCGAGAAATATGTCTTAGCTATACTCAAATTGACCTAACTACTCTTATTTCGTCCTTTGTGAGGGAGGTTGACAAATTCAAACGGAAAGATCGATATTTTAAATTGACTAGTCTTTACTTACAAAACAGTCTAGAAATCATACTAAGTGATCCTTAAATAGTTTGAGATGAACAGAAACAATAGAAGTTTTAGCGAAGTTTCGACGAACTTACATATTAATTTTATAATAACAACCATATTTTACCCAAAATATTTGGTTTTAAAAAAATTACCATAAACAATCAAACATTCAATTAATTCTTAAACATGTAAAACGAACCCTAAAACAAAGAAACCGATTCAAGGAAGCTACAGTGAAGCTTACATATTAACTTCATAATAACAACCAAATTTGATTCAAAATATTTGATTTTAAAGAAAATTACCATAAACTATGAAACATTCCTTTTAATTGTAAAACCCTAAAACAGAAACCATTTCCAAAGCCCAAGGAAGCTTCACTGAAGCTTCGTTTGGCTTAATCTTTTTCCTTATAAGAGCAGATTAATGGTTTCTTCAATCCAATGCGTTTACAATATCGATTTCTCTTTGTTCTCCCTGTGTTTTCGTCATTTGTTCATCTTTGGTTGCATCAATGGCGTTGAGATACAGGAAAAATGATGAAATGGTGATCGTAAACCATGAGGAACGATCGTCTATGGCAAAAAATCACAAACGGCGGTGGAGGATGGCCTTCGCGGCGATTTGTTTCACCAGAGTTCTCATTTCTCTGTCGAAGAAAGTCGGCGGCCGGCGCAAGTCCGGCGGCCTCTTGCGCTCGCTCTCTTACGTTGCTGTTGATGTGCCACTGAACGATGGTGATAGCACGGATTGCGGCGAGCTGTCGTGCATGGCGGCGTTTTCCGACGTCGATCGGGAAGTTCTGAGCGAGATGGTGAGGGAGAAGGATTCTGATTGTTTGGATCGATTTGGAGGTGTTGAAGGATTGGCAGCTCTTCTGGAAACCAGTGCCAATGGCGGAATTAGTGCAACTGATGATGACCTAATTGCCAGAAGAAACGCTTTCGGAGCCAACACATATCCGAAGCTCCATGGCAGAAGCTTCCTCAGTTTCGTGATCGAAGCGTTCAAGGACACTACGATTATCATTCTCTTGATCTGTGCAGCGCTTTCTTTAGGATTTGGAATTAAGCAGCACGGTTGGGACGATGGATGGTACGACGGCGGCAGCATTGTGATCGCCATATTTCTGGTGGTGGTGGTTTCCGCTGTGAGCAACTTCAACCAGTCGAGACAGTTCGAGAAGCTTTCCGACGAGAGAGACGACATCAAAATTGATGTCGTGAGAGCCGGTCGACGAAAACCAGTTTCGATATTCGAGGTCGTGGTTGGAGATGTCGTGCGGTTGAAAATCGGCGATCAGGTTCCGGCCGACGGAGTGTTTCTCGAGGGGCATTCGCTGAAAGTCGACGAGTCGAGCATGAACGGAGAGAGCGAACACGTTGAAGTAAATCTAGGGACTAATCCGTTTCTGCTATCGGGAACAAAAGTGAGCGATGGATTTGGTGTGATGATGGTTACTTCTGTGGGAATGAACACGGCCTGGGGAGAGATGATGAGCTCAATAAGGGAGGAAGTTAATGAGCTTACTCCATTACAAGCGCGCTTGAACAAGATGACCGCCGTCGTTGGGAAGCTCGGGCTGACGGTCGCCGTGCTTGTTCTTCTTGTTCTATTGCTTCGCTACTTCACCGGGAGCACCAAGGAGTTCAATGGAAGCAAGACATCATTCAACAGCGTGATGAATGCGGTTCTCGGCATGGTTGCTGCTGCTGTTACGATCGTTGTGGTGGCGATTCCCGAAGGTTTGCCTCTTGCTGTTACTTTAACTTTAGCTTACTCCATGAAAAAGATGATGGCGGATAATGCAATGGTTAGAAAACTCTCCGCTTGTGAGACCATGGGCTCCGCTACAACAATTTGTACGGACAAAACAGGCACCCTCACTTTGAATGAGATGAAAGTGACTGAGTTCTGGATTGGGGCAGATGAAATAGACAGATATTCCTCTTCTACGATTGAAGCCAAAGTTGTTGAAGTTCTGCACCAAGCAATTGGACTGAACACAGCTGGTAGTGTTCAAAGACAGCCAACTTCTTCTTCATTGCTACCAGAAATATTCGGGAGTCCGACCGAGAAAGCGATACTATCTTGGGCGGTTTTTGACCTGGATTTGAACTTAGATGAACTGAAGAAGCATCATGAGATAATCCAAGTGGAGACTTTCAATTCAGAGAAAAAGAGGAGCGGGGTTTTGACGAGACAATACGGTGAGAGGCTTATACATACACACTGGAAGGGAGCGGCAGAGATGATATTAGCCATGTGTTCGTATTGTTACGAGAGACAAGGAACAGTTAGAGCCATCGATGATGAAGGAAGAAGGCGCCTTGTTGCTATAATCACAACCATGGCAGAGAAAAGTCTGCGATGCATAGCCTTTGCCCACAAGACGAATGGAGAAGATCAAAATCTAGAGACTCCTGCAAAACTCGACGAATCGGGATTGACATTACTGGGGATTGTGGGTTTGAAGGATCCTTGCAGGCCAGGAGTTAGAGCAGCGGTAGAATCATGTAGAGCTGCTGGAGTGAACATAAAAATGGTAACAGGTGATAATCTGCACACAGCAACAGCCATAGCAATTGAATGCGGTATACTTGATCTCAATGATGATTTGAGTAGTGAAGTTGTAGTAGAGGGCAAAGAATTTAGAAACTACACACCTGAGGAGAGATTGGAAAGGGTTGGTAGAATCCGAGTGATGGCTAGATCTTCCCCATTCGACAAACTTCTCATGGTACAGTGCTTGAAGAATCAGGGCCATGTGGTGGCAGTCACTGGTGATGGCACAAACGACGCCCCTGCTCTTCACGAGGCAGACATTGGCCTTTCCATGGGGATTCAAGGAACTGAAGTGGCAAAGGAGAGCTCGGACATAGTCATCTTGGACGATAACTTCACGTCAGTAGTGACCGTCTTGAAATGGGGAAGATGCGTTTACAACAACATTCAGAAGTTCATTCAATTTCAGCTAACCGTGAATGTTGCTGCACTTGTTGTCAACTTCATCGCTGCCGTCTCTTCCGGTAAAGTCCCCCTAACTGCAGTTCAGCTACTGTGGGTGAACCTCATAATGGACACAGTGGGAGCTTTAGCCTTAGCCACAGAGCGACCCACCAACGATCTCATGCTGAAAACGCCAGTCGGGAGATCCGAGCCATTGGTAACCAAAGTCATGTGGAGGAACCTCATTGCTCAGGCTGTGTATCAGGTGACAGTCCTGCTGGTTTTGGAATTCAAAGGAAGATCCATCTTCAATGTGAATGAAAGGGTAAAAAGCACGCTCATCTTCAACACTTTTGTTCTGTGCCAAATCTTCAATGAGTTCAATGCAAGGAAGCTGGAGAAGAAGAACATATTCGAAGGATTACACAGAAGCAAGCTCTTTTTGGCAATAATTGCAATAACCATTGCTTTTCAAGTGATAATGGTGGAGCTTCTGGGAAGGTTTGCCAATACTGAGAGGTTAAATTGGAGCCAGTGGGGATCATGCATTGGCATTGCTGCTTTGTCTTGGCCAATTGGATGGGTCTCCAAGTTAATACCAGTTTCTGCCATGGAATTTCCAAGGAGAAGAACTTCTGCACCATGAAAGCTTCAATCAACACAATCAGGTCCAGTTTAAAATGTCATTTCGTTCTCTCTTTGCTTTTATAGGTAGAAGAACTGACTAGAAATTAGCACTGTCTATAGTTAATGTAGCTTCTTTTTCCCCTTTTTTAAGCAGACTTGTTTAGCAACTCCAAAAGACGGTTTCCTTCAAACATGACTTGTTTACAGAAATTAAAGTTCATCTCCTTGATACTTGGCAAATCATATTGATTTTTCTTCATATTGCTGTGGCTGCTCCACTCCTTAGTTATCAATAACTTAAATATATAATTTTGTTTCAATTGTTTTTATCGTTTTTCAAACTGATCTCAGATTTTTTAGTAGTTCCAATTTCATTCTTCATGAAGTGATGATTTGACAAAGATTTTAATTTAATAAGTTGGATATGTACAATCATTAAATCGAGAACATACCAACCCCACACGTCCCAAAACTTACTCATAGTACATTTCAGAACATGGGCCCATTAAAATTTAAAAGTATGCCAACTCGGCCACCTCACTAGAATTTTTTATTTTTTTTAATTTCCTTCTTATTTCATAGCTAGAAAGAAACATTCTCCAATCCTATTTCCTTATTATTTATTTATTGCCACAATGTGAGCATCTTACGTTGTGTTGTTAGCACGATCTTTAGAACATTATTAAGAGAGTCGTTTGCAATTACCATCCCTTGGAGAATGTATGATTAGAAATAATTTGGGTTTTCAATATTTTTGCATATCATTCCATAGGAACTCTTGAACATGAAAGACTGAAGACTCCTGCAATCTAATCTATGGAAAAAGATTAAAGAATATAGTGCGTATTTTAACTCGCCAAGTGATTTTGAAAATTACATAATAATTAGGCAAATATACATGGTCACAAACTTTTTAACTCAAAAAATTTTTCCTTTCTTTTTTTAAAATGAGAAATCAAGCTTTCATTGAGAGAAATGAATGAAAGAATATACAATAGCATACAAAAGACCAATTCGACACAAGGATGCCCTCAGAAATTCCAAACCAAAAGAAAAATACCTAACTGATTATTAAAAAAAACCTTAAAAATCAATCCTATAGGGAAGTATAAGTCTAATATGCTCCTAGACATACTACTTAGATCTCTCAATCCCCTTAAAGGTTCTATTATTTCTCTCGAGCCAAATTCCCTCCAAAATAACAAAGTAACAAGCCTGCGACAAAAACCTGAGGAACAACAAAACCTCACGAAGTTTTTGCTCCTCACCTAGATAAATAAACCTTAACCATCCAAGATTTATATGTCAAGAACAAGAACAATAACAGATGTTATGCATATAAAATACTATAGCAATTTTCATACCTCAAATTTAATTACCAAAGGCAATAAAGCAATCTTTCCGAAAAGGAAAAAGAAACTTTGAGCGACATCCTGATCGAATCTAATAGCAGCATAATCTTAATTCGAGGAACCAGAAAAGTAAGAACATACCTCGAGATCTTTTGTTAGAGTGCAGCTTTTGTTTTATTCCTGATTCCTAAGAGAATGCTCTCATCTTTCCTTAGCTTCAGCCAAAAGAAAAACCCCCTAGAGAGACAGGAATATCTTAGCAGGGGAAGAGAAATCAAGTTCTATGTAATCCATTTGCACTTGGACAATTTTTCTTTTTCAACCACATTGATATAGTACAGTCAACATCATAAAAGATGCGAGAACTTTTCGTTCAGAAATTGAAAAGTTACCTCAAGTATCAAAGAGAATCATTTACTTTCTACCGAATATAGCTCAGTGGACAAGGCACGATTACTTTCTGCAAGGTTCAATCCCCACCTTCACAATTGTTGCATTAAAAGAGAGAATCATTTACCATCATCAACAATCATAGTCGAATATTGGCAGTGAATACTGTAAATAAATGATTCGCATCAAGGAACTAGTGGCCTAAATATTGAGTTATGAGAAAAGGAAAAAAAGAATAACCATTCTCAAATCTCCAAAAGTCATAAACAAAACAGGAAGAGACCCTCTGGGAAGCTATAATTTAGAAGGATACCATATCGAGCTTTTCTACCCAAAAGTTGTATTTATAGATCGAGGAAGAGTCAAACAATCACTTATACGTGTTACCCCTCAAATTGGAGAATTGATATTAGATCATTTCCCATTCATGAGAAGAAAAAGGAGTGCCTTTACTAACTCATTCATGAACAGGTTGACAATTGCTACTTGCTAGACAACCTTTTTTTCCTTAAAAAATAGAAAACTAAAAGCAAAATTGCTAAGGAACAAGACGTTGAGATAATAACGATCAATAACCATCAGAATCCTTCCGAATCCGAATGCAATAAAGTAAAACTTACCAACATAGATATGGTAAAGAAATTACCAAAACTGAATGATGAAAGCTTAAGATGCATAAGATTGGGCTTGATGCCTTTGTCATGAAAATTAATGTTACTAAGGATTTTGTTTCTTTGATATGTTCTGCAAAGTTACATAGCATTTTCTAGAGAAAACTTCGACATGGAATAATATAGACAAAAATATCACCTAAATTGACTAGATTCGAAATTTATTGCATCACTCAAAAGCTTTCATTTCAAGTATTCTTCTAGCTACTTAAAACCTACTCAACTTTGATCTCCTCATACTTATTATACTTCCTCAATTGATATTTTAAGAAATGTGAACAGAAATAAAAGAATACAGAAGAGCCCACCGCAAAAGTGGCCGAGCAAAAAACCTAAATTATAGCCAAACAACGGGAATAAAACCTAAAGGATAATTACAGAAGTCTGTAAAACTCGACCCATATGGGAGAATTTCGTAACACAAAACTCAAGACTTCTACGAAGAAGAGAACCCTACATAAAAGATGATAAAAAACAAGTCCATTTAAGCTCCTCTTCACCTCTTGCAATAGTTTTCCTCTCACTTAGATCTCCCACTTGTGAATTCCTAACATTGAACATATCATCTTTTCGCATTCCCAATAGCTTTTAAGTAAGTCCATTTAGCTACACAATTATGGGATATCGAGGTTGCTCACAAACCACGCTTAGATTGAGAAGTCCGAGTTTATGAATATTCATGTAACTTGTGTAACTTGTATATGTACTATAGATAAAGGTTTCATAAACCTAGATTGGTGTAGTCTAGATTATGCAACTCCGTAAAGAGTTAACAAACCCCATACCTAACGGATTAGAATAAATTTAATCTTTTACAGAGAACTTACAAAAAATGACATAAAGAATCCAAGCATAGATTATTGTCCATATACTAGGGTAACAAAGGTGATCTAAATTTCACAAACCCACAAAATTCAGGGCACAAACTCGGCGCCAATACCACTTCCCTCAAACCTAGCTTTCAGAACCATTGCCCTTGTGACAAAATTTCCCAGAAAATGGTGGGTTCAAGAACTGTGCACACATTTTATCACATTGAATGGAAATGAAATTAATGGGCGTGTGTTAATAGCTCCTATCCGTCACATTTTCTCGGGAAACAAACAGGTTTGATAATCAGAAAGCACAGAAATTTGATCAGGAAAAGGCAAGAGGGTGGATTCAAGACTGATTGATGGGGCCGCAGCAGATGAACAAATTACAAAATGCAGCTTCTTTTGTGATTCATAGATTATTAAAATGAAAAAGAAAAAAAATGGGGCCGATGGCTGACCTTTGTCGCGTTGTGATGGAGACACAGCCCTTCGGTTAAGCCATGGGATCCCTTTTCCCTTTGGCTGAGTACGGCGAACGAAACAGCGAATAAACAAATGGCTGGACCACCACCAATGGACCTTTTTGTTTTTTCCTACACGTGTCAGTTGATAACAGGTGACGACTACCAAAGTAAATAATAGCCATAAATTTACATTAAAAGATTTTCATTGGATATAAATTGTTAAGAGATTTTGAAAATGTGGACAAAAAGTAGTCATCTTCTAGAAACATATGGATTAGAATAAACAAAAATTTAAATCATAGAGACTTAAATAGATATTTTGAGAATATAGAAACTAAAATGAATTAAATTCGATAATACACGGACTAAAATAGTATTTTAACTCATAGTTGTGGTTTAAATGCACATAACTATCATGATTATTATCTGGGGTACTCCGAAAACTACAAGCGGTTGGAAGGAACAAGTTAAAATTTCAATAATCATGTATTAGGGTTATATTTGACAATCAAATGCTTGTTCGAGAAGCCTTCTTGATGCATTTAATTTTCGTTTAAAAAAAACACACACTTCTCCTAGAAAAATACTCTAGTAAATTGATCTAGTCAAATCAAGCCGACAAATATCTAAAACGTGAGTTTTGGATCACTTTTGATGAAACAAATTTCTTTTACTTTTTTTTTTTTTGTTAGATGTGAGTGTTGGGAGAGTATACATGCCTTGAGTAGTCTTTCAAAACAATCATCCTCCCTACCACACTTGGTTTTCAAATCTTGTACACGGGTTTGAATCTGTTCTCCCAAAGTTCTTCTATTTTTTTTCACGTGCTTTGATGGCATTAAGCTAATCCAGGGTAGTAAATTTTGAAAAATATTTTTAACAGGCTGAAAAACATTTTCACCCTTCCGAAAGTCATCATAAACTCACGTGTATATTAAACTTTAAAGGGAAGGTTTCTAGCAGCCAAACAGCTAACCAAACTACAAAAGTTATTAATCAGAGCAAAGTTCATTGGATAAGACTTTAATTATTGTTTCAATGTCTTAATCACACTAGTTTAACTATAGCAAAGAAAGGGAAAAAGAAAAAGAAAGTCTTTGCAAATTGCAAAACCCCTTTTTAATCATCCATTGTTGTTATTATGGGGAAAGCTGACAGGTTTCGAAAATGGATGAGTAATCAAGTGTCGAGAGGAAATTGGGAAAACAAACAAGGCCACCACCACCAGGTAAACCCTCATATCAATTTCCCCATTTCCATTTCAGATTTTTTCTCGGAGAAAAAACTGTTTTTGATTGGTCGAAACAATTTCCTTCACAATTCCTCCTCCTAAATCCTTGGGCTGAATTCCAGTTCTAGTGCAACAAGTGTCTAAAGTTTGTTAATCTTATCAATTGCTTGCTGTTTGCTTATTGGGGTCTTGAAAATCGTTGACAGAGTTCAGTAATTGAATCTTTTTTCCTTTCAGATTGGGTCAACTCTCTTGGTAGGTTCACTACGGGATAATTTATTGGAAATTTTGAAGGATTTATTATATAGAGTTGTATTGACGAAAACTTCGAGGAAATTGTCTGTTTTTATGTAGATTTGGTTATGGATTAGGTATTAAGTGATGTAAGGAATAGTCGAAAATATCGAAATGGAATCCTAAATTGGAGGAAAAGAAGGGGAAATACGTAATCAATGATGAAAAAGTCCACAAGAAACAAATATTTTATAAGTTTGAAGTGAAAGACTTGTGATGTAAGCGATGATGAATGTCATTTTTCCATTTCCCCCGTGATGTTTCCACTGCTACTATTCTCCAAGAAGCCTCTCTTGGTTCTTTGTGTTTATATATATATTTTAGGATTGGTTCAACAGACTACTAAAGGGATCCACTGATTTTCTGCTCATAAGATTGAGAGGGAGAGCAATGGCTGAGGGGCAGAGAGTTCAGATTCCCAGGGTGCCTCTTGGAAGTCAGGGACTTGAGGTAAAATGCATATGCCTCTTCTAAATCCCCCACCCTTCTTATTCTTGAAACTGGATTCGGTTCTCAGACAAAAACTAACTTCTAGCGGGAGAAACAAGATTTGGAAACTTGATTTAACTGAACTTTTGTTTTGAAAATCAGAAAATTATTTCTACAAACAACTTTTAGTAAACAGCATGTTCTCATTCATATTTTTCTCCCATAGTAAGCTTTAGAGTTTAGACTATTTTCTCCATTGCAAGTTCCCTCCTGCCACACTTCTCTATGTATCAGTAGGCGTTTGATTAATATGGTTTTAGACATATGCATACTTAGTAATTCCATTATGTGCTAGAGTACATAGAAATATTCATCCATAATGACGAAACATGGTCGGAGAGTCCTATAACGAAAAGCTAGAAAAGATTTGATTTGAGGCTCTCTTTTGATTATAGGAATCAAGAGTTAAAGAGAAATAAATTTTATAAGCTTAGGCACAGAGCTTTCCCAATTTATAATCTCATGTTTGGGTAATCTTCAGGTCTCAAAATTGGGATTTGGATGTATGGGCTTGACTGGAGTCTACAATTATTCTCTATCTGATGAAGATGGAATCTCAATAATAAAGGAAGCTTTCAATAGAGGAGTTACTTTTTTTGATACATCCGACATATATGGACCCCATTCAAATGAAATTCTGGTCGGAAAGGTACTCACCTCTGCTTTTGAAGCATAGAAAGCAGAATGCAGATTTTATTTTGAGTTTGAGTATGATTTTTCACCCAATATAAGCACATAATAAACTGGTCTTTCTTCAAAGTTAATTTTATTTTGAATTCTCCTGTAGTGAAGTGCCTCTAGAAGTACTTCTCATCTACCTGTCTTTACATTGTTTTCACTACTTTTCCCCTTCCAGGCCGTGAAACAGTTACCAAGAGAAAAAGTTCAGATTGCCACAAAGTTTGGAATTACAAGGATTGGAAGTTCTATGACAGTGAATGGAACCCCAGAGTATGTGCGGTCATGTTGTGAGGCTAGCCTGAAACGCCTTGACATAGACTACATCGACCTGTATTATCAACATCGTATCGATACCGCTACACCTATAGAAGAAACTGTAAATAACCCTTACTCATTTCCCCACTCTGTTGTCATTATACTAATTTTTTTGTTCCTTCTTGTATTAGTGGTAACAAATACTATGTTCTTCACTTGTAGATGAGTGAACTGAAAAAACTAGTGCAAGAGGGAAAGATCAAATATATAGGTTTATCTGAGGCCAGTCCAGACACGATAAAGAGGGCGCATGCTGTTCATCCGGTTACCGCTCTACAGATGGAGTGGTCCCTCTGGACACGTGACATCGAGGAGGAGATTATTCCTCTTTGTAGGTATGATTTAATATTTTAACCTGAAATCTCCTGACCTCTATTGTTTATAAGATTGAAACTAGCAACGAGTTGGTGGAATTGACTTCCTCTTTGTATAGGCATGGAGCTTAGTTAAGTAGAACCGGGGTCATGCTACGTGCTCAACGCATACTATATTTCAACCGTATTGGCATTGGTAGTTAGGACCAGTGATTTTCTCCCTAGTCGTTAATATAGTTGCAATAAGTTTGCTTAGACTTTCTATTGAGTTGCTAAAAAGAATATATATAATTAACTACATAGTTCAGGAGAGAGAATCAATCATGACCTTACCGTATTGGTTAGTTTATAGGACGTAATTCTTCAATTGAAGTTCAAGTTCCTAACAGACTTCTTGTCCTTTTTGCAGAGAACTAGGCATAGGTATAGTTCCTTACAGCCCTCTTGGTCGAGGCTTTTTTGCTGGTAAAGCAGTTGTGGAAAGTTTGCCTGCTGGTAGCTTCTTGGTATCTATTTTTTCTCTCTCCTTTTTCAGTTAAGTTAATATGCTTTGGATGAAACTTCTTCAAGACAATAGTAAGATCAATCTGAAGTAAATATCAAATGCTAGTACTTGTTGAGAAGTCAGTAGGAAGTTTCAAGAGAATATAAATATATTGCTAATGAGTTTCTTCAAAGGAAAGGAAATGTAATCAAGCTCGTCCATGTTAATGCTCAAGAACACATACCCAGTGTGTACTGCACTCAACCATTTCGATGTTCTATTATCTACTTTTTTCTTTAAATAAAATTTGCCTTTTGTGAGAAATGATAATGATCCCAATTTAAATTCTAAAACAAGTCTAATTATCCATCATGGGTTGCCCCAATGGTCAATGAGGGGCTGAGAGCCAACAAAAAGATAAAGAGCTTAGAGAAAATGGGTTCAAACTATCGCGACCACCTACTCAAGATTTAATAACCTATGAATTTTCTTAACAATAAAATATAGTTAGGTCAAGCAGCTGTTTGGTAAGTTTAGTCTAAGGTGAGAAAATCTGCCCCAAGAAAAGAAAAGTTATTTAATATCACCTCTCTTCTTTGCTTTTCTACGTAGGGAAACTGACATGTCCTGCCTGATAGAGTTGTTGTTTGTTGTTTAAAAAAGCAGTTCAAATTTGGCTTTTGAGAGATATGTTGATTCTTGTTGGTTTCATTGTAAAGATATGTCGTGAAACTCGTGCCTAATTTCTTCTTTTCTTAGGCCACGCATCCCCGGTTCGTCGAAGAAAACTTGGACAAGAACAAGCACATTTACACACGAATAGAGAAGCTTGCTGAAAAGCACCAATGCTCTCCTGCTCAGCTTTCTCTTGCATGGGTTCTCCAGCAAGGAGATGATGTTGTTCCTATCCCAGGTGACCCTTCCTCTCGCACTTGTTCATTATAAATTTACCCTCTGAACTTTGATGGTTATACCTTATTTAGACTTTAAAATTTAAAAAGTTCTAATGTAATTTTGAATTATGGCACTTGGTAGTCCATGTTGTGAACGCATTAAATGGCATGTGTTTTGGACAATGTTGGCTGATTTAGCATGACATAGTAGACCAATGATAGAAGAAAGCTGATAGCTTGGCAAAATAGAGCAGTATAGTTTACAATGGATTTGATATCCTGTTTAAAAGTGTTATTGCTCATGCCACTTTATTTGTCGAGCTGGCTATTTCCTTAGGCCATCTATGTGACACATTATTCCAAATCGAATCATATTTGTCTAATAAGCATGTCACATCATCATTTAGTTAACCATGGTAACAACATAAATTACATAGAATCACTACTCAAAGTTCATGGACATAATTAAAACTTCTTACGTTTATGGGTAAAATAGACACAACCATCAAAGTTGAGTTCATGTGAGAACAAAGATGAAGACTTTTTCATAAACCTTTTACATTTGATCTATCTTCTACCTGCTGCATTTATATATTCCAAGACGCTAAAACATCATACGATTTCATTGCTTTGTTCATTTCTTCGTCAATAGGCACAACCAAGATAAAGAATTTGGATCAGAACATCGGTTCCTTGACGGTGAAGCTAACCAAAGACGACCTAAACGAAATTTTGGAGGCCGTACCTGCAAGTGAGGTAGCTGGAGATAGAACTTATCATAGCATGACTCATGCAACATGGAAATATGCTAACACACCTCCAAAAGTGAACGACATCTCAACCTAAGACATACAAAGGTTTGCATATACCTTGTGCCCAATTTTATAAGCTTTGGACAATAGAAAGACTACAACTTATTTTGCAATCATTTTTGATAAATGTATGAAGAGTTCTACGAATGATGTTGTTGACAATTACGAACACTGATCATGTATTTGCATCATTAATGAAAAACCTCTATCCTAAATATCTCATTAATTTCAATACATTCCAGCTCTTGACCCATAACGCGAACTAAGTTGTTTAAGAACCGAACCGAGGTACATAAATACGAATTTAGACAAAGATAAATATTAATCTACTTTATAAAGTACAAGAAAAGCAAGTAGCATAAGTAGGTTGTTAAGCCTGGCTTCCACCAAGGAGCATTGTTGGGTTCAAGCTCAATATGGCTTCATCCTCACAAAGCTCAGCCATCTCCCTCTCTGGCAGCATCACCATCACATTCCTTGCTTGCCCTCCTTCATTTGAAGGCATGACCATCATCAATCCCTCTCCTTCAGCATTCCCAACATTACAGGACACATGAACTGGTTTTGCATCCCTCACAAACTTTGTTGCATACATCCACGGCTCGTTTCCGTTCACCATGTGTTCCATGCTGACGCAGGTTAACTCTGGGCCATACATCTGGAAAGGCGGTGCGTACTTCCCGCCCTTTTCCTTTCGTGACTCGAGCCAGTCCATAGTGGACCAAATCTGCCCCTCCTCCTCGGCGAGCCTCTGCACATGGCAGTGTAGTAAACCCGCGACGTGTCCCAACTCGTATCGCTCCATTTCTTCGGGTTTTATTGAAAGTTGTGAGAAGTGTAGAGCATTGCCAAAGTAGTACCTTTGTGAAAGTGGAGATTCGAACAACTTCCTGAAGTCAGTGCAGATTGAGAGTGAACAATTTTGATCGTTTTTCAGACCCTTTATGTGCAGGACCCGCTTCCAGAAGAGTGCAGCAAGCAAATCAAATGGGGTGGCATCAGGACAGTGGCCTTCTATTTCTGATAAGCATTGGCTTATGGTTGAGTTGGAGAATTTGAAGGTAACTGAGGCCATTTTGACATGACAAGGGGTGGCTTTGGACTTGTTGTCATAGTAACAACTAGTTGATTTTGTAGGGACTTCTTTGTCGTCCCCGGAGGACGGGAAGGTTGGGCGGGTGAGTAGCGGTGGCAAAACGCCTTCTCCTCGGTGAGTATCTGCCCATGCTTTCAAGAGGAGAGTTGCAGAAGTTGGGTCTGCATTCAGGTGAGTGAAGCTCACTCCAATGGCCACACCTCCTCCTTCAAATGCATTTATCTGTACCAATCTCTAAAGCTTTTAGTCTCAATATAAGTTTTAATGTCATCTGACAATGTTTCAAAAAATTCAATCAAATTCCTACTTAATAACTTTGTTTTAAATTGAATAACAAAAGTATTGAGAATTGGGTCGATAAAGTCAACTGAGTTTTAAATTGAATTAAATAATATATTTTAAATCTATTAAGTATTATCCATGCCATTTCCCAATTTCAGTAAGAGACAAAAATTCAAATTTTTTATCTATATGGTGTGGATAGTTTCTTTTCTTTTTTGGTAGAATTTAGATTAACATGACAAAAATTATATAAATTAACTATTTAAAGCTAAATTTTTTTTTAATTTAAACATTACCTCCTTAATTTGGTGGTAAGGATTCGAAATCTGACAACCCATAAGTCATAATTAGAAAGAATAGATTTCTAATCGTCAAAATTATACTTATATTGGTAAAAGAAGTTGTAAGGATAAAATAGTACGTAACAAAAGGTTATAGATTCAAATCCTATCTCATATTCTTAAAAAAAATGTCGATGTATATACATTAATTTGAATAATAACAATAACAAAAGGATCTAAAGTTCAATAAATATATAAAGCACCATAACATGTAGGGTATACTCAACCATATCCGTCCTAGTTGAGTTATTGTGGACCTAAGGCACAAGTGAGATTTTTCTATTTTTATTTCATTTATTTATTTTGGAAAATGTACATAAAGATTCATAAAGTACACTTGCCTTGATATTATTTTTAAATTTTTTATATCATGAGTGTTTTATTTAATTGAATTAAATTTTTACTCTAAAATAAATTTCGTGTTAAATTGTAATTTTTGTATATATGTAATGGGGTTTGTGAAAAATAAAGTTAGATAAAATATAGTTTAAATAGTTAGACATTACTTTCAACTTTTGAGTATAATCCAAATGGTCAAAGCACCTGTATAGTTAAATATTACAAGGTTATAACGGGTAAGTTTTGTAATCTAATATTGTTTAAAAAAACACAAAAAAAGAAAAGAAAGAAAGACTAGTGATTCAAAAAGGGAGCAAAAATAACTTCTAAAAGGTAATTATCCAAACATTTCTATATTGAATCTTTACTTAAGAAATAGAAAATGACCCTTTAAACAAAACAAACAACTTCATAAATTTTAAAAGTATGTTTTACTAATTTTTTTTTAAATAGAAGACAATTAAAGAGACATTATGATTTTTATTAAAATAATAATAAATAGGTAGCTATTTGGATATTTCTATTATTTTTAGTTCTAATAAGTAAAAACTATGTGAGAAGTTATTTTTGTTTCTTTTTATTTCTCTTTATGTTCCTTCCCACAACTAGTATTGGAAGTTGTTGTCGATTCAAAACAAGTGTTAGAAGTTATTGTAATTGCACCAATAAATTTTATACATCAATAAATAACTTAAAAAGGAAAAAGTTTTTTTTGTCAAGAAAGGAAAAATTTTCAAAAACATAAATTTACTTTTGAGTGCAACTTCCAATGACCCATATATTTAGAAAAAAAATACAAAAAATAAACAAAAAAAAACTAAATTAAACCCCATTTGTTAAATTGAATTAATCAAATTTATAGACTAAATTAAAAATCTAAAAAGTATTTTAAAAGTAAAAATCAAGCTTAAATCTCATTTCGGCCACACACATTCAACTTTTGATTTTTGTTATTTTAAATTCTGTAATTTTAACTTTAATTCATCTTAATTTATATATATTTATTTATTTATTTAGAACATTGGTTGAGATCTTTATTCTTTCTTTAAAAAAGGACCATTTTGCAAACATTCTATACACAACAAAAATTCCTTTTTAACACAATATCCTAAAAAATTGTTGAGTGTAATATTTAGATTTTAAAGATTTAGTAACCAGAATAGAATTTAAATCGAAATTAAAAAAATAAAAAAAAAAGTTTTTTATTTTATTTTTATTACCTGAATACGGAAATGCGACCATATATAGGGATCCTCCGGCATGTCCTCGAGCGCCGCCAGATCTGCTTCCTCGGCCGCGTCGGCAGATCTCAGCCATTCGTCGAGGGTGGCCCCCACCTTCGTCATCGTGACCCGCACGCCGGCGTCGTTTTCCCTCACCGCCCAGTTCCCCTCCGGCGACCGGCTCATCCGACCCGTCACCGTCGGGTACAGCGTCAGGACCTCCGACAGCGACTCCCTCATCGGGTCCAATATGAACGACCCGAACGGATTCTCGCCGTAGTAGAACACCACGGCGCCGCTGTGCGTCCCCATCGCGTGATCCGCCGCCGTCAGCGGGTACACCCGACCCGACCCGCTCGGATTGCTCGACACCGCCGTCAGCTTCGTGATCGGCGTCACGCGGCTCGACATTGTCGCCGGAGAGAATGGAAGAGACAAATTTGAGAGAGAGAGAGACGGTGGCGGAGAGAGTGGAAGAGGGAGAGGGCGTATTTATGCCGGAGGAGAGGGGGGTGGCGGTTGGAGGAGTGGCTGGGGATGGGTTGGTTAGGGCTCTTAATTATTTTGGACTTTTATGTCTCTTCCTTTGCATTATGACAAGTCACAACCTGCCGCGAGTCGGACTTTGACATGTGGCACTTGCGTCGGACCCTCGTTTTCGACTGTAGTAATAAATGTCTTGTCTACTGAGAATTAGAGTCGAATTCATGTAACGCCAAAATTATAGTTTTTATCGAAATGTTAATGAAATTATTGATTTAATTTCTATTGTTTTGAGGAAATTTATAGAATGATTAATGTTACAATATTTAAGAATGAATTGGAGTCGAGCAGTATTAAAAAATTACTTATTGAGAAAAGCTATAGCGTGAACAAATGAGTATGCTGTATATATATCTTTTTTTCTTTCTTTTTTTTTTGAAAAATGAGCATTAACACAATTTGTTCCATCATCAATGGATATTTAGAGGGATTTGAATTCGTGACTCTTATCAGAGACAGCTGCCAATTACCACTCAGCTAAGCTCTTGACAAAAATCTTAAAGTTTTGTTGATGCAAATATTGATATAGATAAATATTCAGGGAAAACATTATGAAAATTAAAAATTTTATAAAATTTATTTCAATTAATAAAGGGGTGACTTATAAATCTTATTGTTTTTGTATTTATATTGAATAATCTTTTCTATATATTTCACAGTATATCAAAATAAATATGATTGGGAATATTTCAACATGATGTATTATTTACGACTTTGAGTTAATTTTAACAAAATATGTTTTCTAAAATAATAATAATAATAATAATTAACAGAACATGTACATGGGACACCTGTGGAATAACTATGTACCAATAATATTAAAGTTAGGTTGAAATTTAATAGAAGGCACAAATTTTAGATTTTGCAAACCACATTTTAAAAACAAAATGTTATAATTGACAAAATAAAAAAAATAAAAAATAAACCACTTTATTTATTGTTTTTTTCCTTTTCTTTTTAATGTTCAATTTTTTTATTTCTATTTAAAAAAGACATATATAGAAATATATTTGATAGTTATTAGTTTTTATTTGTTCTCGAAAGGATAAATACTTTTAGCAATAATTTCTTGCTTTGTATTCTCTAAAATTTTAAAAATCATTATCCATAGAAAAATATTCAAAATTACTATAAAACAATATTTTTGTCACAGTTATTGAAGAATTTGAAATATAAAACAGCAGACAAGAAATTTAATTCTGAACCAATTTAGTTTGTTGAATTTTGCAATTATTTAAAAAGTGAGCCAAATTACTCTTTTTTTTATTTTCTTTTTTAATTTTTTTATCAATAGTGAACCGAATTACTCTTCTATTATTATTATTATTATTATTATTATTATTATTATTATTATTATTATTATTATGGCATCATGAATGTAATATACTTTAAAAATGCATGGAGTCATTTTCTTCCTAAATAAAATTGGACCAATAACTTTTTAGTATTTAAGTTAGAACCTAACTAAAAAGTATAGAAATTAAATAACACTATTTTGGTGGTGTGACCATCATTGAAAAAACGACACAGTTATTATTTTTTTCTATGACATTCAATAAGAAATGAATGTTAACCGATCAATACTTAAATATGGTTCAAAATTAAATTAAAAATAGTCAAATGCACATACACACTATCACACACATTTAGTATATAACAAAAGATAATATTAAATTATACTATACAAATCCAACTTGCGAGCCAAATGTCATCGTTTCAAGTATTAATTTATTGTCAAATTTTTATCCAATTGAAAAATTAACCAACCTCCTTATTTTCAATAAGTTATTACTATTAAAATATATTACAGCTACTAAAATTTAATTTTAAACCAAAAATGGGCTAATTTGGTATGTGATTGCTCATATAGTTAGGGGCTCAGTCTAAGGACGGCCGTATTGCTGTTGGTAAGGATATGGAGTCTATCACATATTTAGAAGTTTCATACTCGAATTTTCAAGTGAGCTAAACACTAAAAATCTTTGTTGATCTCCTAATTAAGTTCGAGCCATGGGTTGAGGGTAGGTACCCCGATTATAGAGAAGTAAGCTAATAAAGTTAAATATGTTCTATTAGGTAATTGACCTTTGTTTTATGAGTTTTTTGTGATATACTTTTCCTTAGATATAACTTATTAGTTTAAAGTTTCATTCCGCATCAAGTTCCATTTCTTTGTAATGGAACATTGAACACTTTTAGCCTTTAAATTCAACCTACCCAAAAGGGCAACCAATCAAATAAAATCAATCTCTTTTAGATTGGTTGGATTTAATACGTTGTTTTCGCCCTAAAAAGTTGTTCGTTTCTTAAGGAAAAAAAGATGACTTAAAAGATTTAAATTCAGTTACATGATTAAGGAATGACAATATTACACTAGTAGAAAAGTGGTCTTCCATGACAGTTGTGAACAGTAAAAAGTTTGGGGGGAAAAAAAAATTGTCAGGGGACGCATTTTTGGCAGGAAATACATAAAGAATCTTTAAATAATATTTCAGTTTCTTGTTTATTATTTTCTATTTTTTAATAAAAGAAAGTATAATTGAATTTGGTGATTATTTTTTCTTCTTTATAAGTGAAGAATGATAAAATAATATTTTTATTTATGTTTTAGAAAAAGAAATGAAATGATAGACTTGATTTTGTTGTTTTAAAAAATTTTATACAATTTTAGGAACGTTTCTAAAAATCAAGAAACATAAATAGTTGTGTAAACTATCTAGATTTCTCGATAAAAATAAAATAAAAAACACCAATATAGTTTTTTCCTTTAAGATCAAATGTTCAAATCCTCACATCCTCACATTTAATTTGTTTGTACTAAAAAAAGGTTATCTTGTATTATAATTTAGCAAAATCATTCTCATTTTATTTTTTTAATAAGATGTGGAAGTAATATTGAGTTATATTCATATTAACAATTATTACATGTTTGAGCAACGAAACGAACCTCTCCACACTCCACAATAATAATGTAATATATTTGTCTACATGCCATCATAACTTCGTTTTTTGTTTCACTAAAAAAAACTTACATAGCATAATAATTTTCTATTTAATTATCTAGCCGATGTAAGACTTCGACGACATTCCTAACAATTCTGTCCTCGAACAAAAGACCACTCAATCTTCTCTCATCTCCATGTACACGATATTCAAAATAAAAATTTATCGACATGTACAGATATATCAAATGACATCTCGACATGTGTTTCGAAATACAATTCTCCATCTTCCTCCCCTCCCTGCCAGAAAAAAAAAGTTGAGTTAAATTCTCTCATTAACGAAAGAAGGAAAAAAAATAATAAATGTTTGAAAATTGAAAGAAGATAAGTGGCGCAACTACCTACCGCCGCATTCAAAATTGGCGGGCCGCCCTCATTAACTAACAACGGCAAACGTCTTAACTGTCGCGTCTCTCCACCAAAATTTTTCTTATCAACAAGAAAATGAAATATATATTTTTTAATCTCAACTCACTTGGACTAATTTCACTAGATTTGGATCCATTAGGACTGATGGTGCTCGAACCCGCAGCTTCCGTCTTGACAGGTAGATTTGGATCCAATTGAACTACAATTTCAGAGAAATAAAATGTCCAACATATGTTGTCGATTTAATTTCCTACAAACCCTTTTAGGTAGATTTTTTATTCGAATTGTCATATTTTAACAGACAGAGATGCGAGTAATAGATAGATGTGTGCGTGGACATGTACTTTAGTGAGAGGAGCATGGATTAATAGTCATTTTTTCGTTATTGTCAAATTGATTGATAATCAATCTGTCAACGAATAAAAAATTTTTTTTTTTAAATTTTATTATTCCGTATGAGACAACCGTTTGATCTTATTATATTGTAGTTTTTAACATCTTGAGCCACCTATGATGGTTGACCATAAACTCACATAAGTATTACAAATTCCATCTTAAACTTTAAAGAGTGTTGTAATTTTTACCTTTTGATTAGTTTTCATTTGAAAAATCGTTGAAAAAGTATTCACGTGCGCGTTAAATGAAACATATATTTGGTGTGAAATTGATATGATTCAAACTAAAGCATGGATGTTTTGGTGGAGTTATTTAACGGTCGATTTTATTTTTTTATTTTTTAAAAATTAGGACTTCAATTGAAAAAAAACAAGGATCAAAATGATTACGTGGATGGGAACATTTTAACGTATTCCGAGGTAAAATATACATCAATAATTTTGTTGATATTTATTTTAACTAAAGATAGGAGTCAATTACATTTTTGACTTCCTATACATACATACGGTAAAAAACAATGTCTCCAATAGGAATTTGAACACTAATAATAATAATAATTTAACTTATAATTATGTGTTTGATAATATCCAATGTTATGTTAATGCGCAAGTCAATTATTATTTTATAAACCCAAACAAACAACTATAAAAGGTAGTTGATACGATGAGCATAACTAAATTACATCTACTCCCAATCTTTAAGTTGGTGGACCATATACTAAAAAAAATTCAAATATATATTCATATATATATTAGTGCCTTTAGGAGTTACTAGTGCCTTAATAACTACTATGGGTATTTAGGGTCAAATAGTACACTTCATTTTTCTCAAGAATATGTAATGGAGGCGAAATAGTACACTTTCTTTTTCTTTATAATATAATTTCATAACAACCTAACAAATTTATCATTTTGGTCCACCGGAGAAAAATAAATATATTTTATAAAAAAATAACTATTTTCATATCAGCATCCGGGTAAACGCATGACACTAGAATTTGAACTCATTCCTTCTAAATTCTTTTAATTTACCTTGACTCATTTAGACCAATGAACCAACTCATGATAATTCAGAAGCTATTATTACTTGGCTTATTTATTTTGTTGTTGGACTTTTATATATAATTATATATTTTTTAGCACAATATATTTTAAATTAGTGTAACAAGATTTAGTTAATTTTTATTTTAGTAAATCATTAAATTTGATAAGTATACACTGAAGAAAAGGTCCCATGTAATTTACACTAACACTTTATCATTTTCCCAAGAGAGGAAATGACTCAATTGGTAAAACATTTAAATTTATGTATAAAATTGCTTGACAATTTTGTACATATTCAAAATATATCACAATCATTCGGAAAAGTTCATTAATATAATTATTGATTTTCACATCTTGGGCCTTAAATACCTTTTAAAATGGTCACTATAAATTATAAATAAGACTACATATATAGTTTAAATGGGTTGCTCATTAAATAAGTAAATAAATAGACACATCTTTTCTTAGTAGAAAAAAGAAAGAGCAAAACAATGGCAATCTCCATCAAGCTTTTTTGTGCACTCTTTTTTTTTTTCTTTTTTTCTGTCTCTTTTCCAAATGTAGTATATAGTACAATTTAATCTTTAATGTTTCTGCACTTTTAATATATATTTTGTATTTTATTTTTTACTGCCACTAAACTCTAAAAAAAATGTGTGGATATGAAAAATGTTTTTTAGTCTCTACTGTTAGTATATAATAACATTTTTAGTGGTTCTATAATCACTATAATTCAATTATTTTGTCAACCAGAACATAGCTCAGCAGGTTAAAACACGTATATTTAATTGTGAGGTTGAGTGTTGAATGCAAATAACTTTCAATTCTTTAGGTTTGGAAGCAAATCCATTTGCCCCCTTCTAACTTTAGTTAGTTTTTGGATTTTGATGAATAATGGGAAGCTTGAATGGGAGAGCTACAAACTCACCAACAATAAATTTCTGTTCAATTGACCCATCCATCATAGCCATATATATAAGGTTCTATTTGTTTGGTCAATAATTGGGTTGCCAATCTTTCACTTATGCTTTGGGACAATTCACTTTCCCTTTCAAGCACCCTCTTCTCTCCAAATTGCTTGTCTTAACTTTTTCTCTCTTCAAGTTCTTGTCTATTTACAAAACAAAGTTGTACATTCGATCAAGATCGAGATGGTCATGTTATTATCGAAAAGAGAACTTATTGAGGTACATTTATTTTGAAGATTTATGAATTAAATACAATTACTTTATATGTTTAACATGTGTTGGAGGATGAATATTGACATGACATGTGAACAAATCAGGTTAGCTTGGAAAGAATAGTCAAACTTATCTGCTTAAAAGGTAACGTCCAACCTACAACAAGCGACTGACATGAAGAAGTATAAAATATCGAGCAATTCTCTCAAGTTGCGCCTCTTGTGCTGAAGGGATTACGGCCTACAAGTCCGATAATCTGTAATTGCCCAACCGCCTACCAGAAACGATTATAACAAATTTTCTCCCAAATTTCATACTCAAGTACGCAATTCTATCTAAGACTGACTTGAGCTTTGGAGTGTCGTTTCCTTTTTGCAAGTGTCTCTTCGTGTAGCTCACTCCTCTGTAGCTCGATCGAATTCATCGAACGTTGACCTTTGGTAGTTCAACACTATTCAGCATCAACAACATCTACGCTCGAAGAGATAATTATGACAGAGGAAGTCCCATGTGAAATATATGTGGTTTACCGAGAAACTTGGAATGGCCTCTTGTTTTAATGTTTTGTCTTTTGTGTTTTCGTTGTAAAATCCGTCGTAAAAAGAAACATGCAGGGAGCGTTGTTGAACGATTGTTAGGTGTCTCTCTACGTAATTGTACTATTTTGGATTTTACTCAACAAATCTCATTTAGTCAACATAATTATATTAATATAAACTAATAATAGGTGAAACCATAGTTTTTTTTTTAATTACAAATTTTGTGGTTTACGTTCTAAGTTGAATTACAAATTTAGTCCTTTTAACTTCTAGGTTTGTGTCTAATAAGTTCATAAACGTTTAATTCTAATAGATTCCTGAATTTTAAAAAAGTGTCTATTAAATCTATTTTTTACTTTTGAAATCTGTATCTAATAGATTATTGAACATTCAATTTTGTATAGTCTTGACAGCATCAACATTTTTTCAAATTCACAAGCTTATTAGACACAAAAGTGAAAGTTTAGGATTCTATTAGACACAAAATTCAATTTTATGTCTAATAGATCCGTTAGTTTTAAAAGTTTCAAATATGTCAGGGACCTATTAGGCAAACCTAAAAACTTAAAAGATACTTTCTTAAATCTCCTAGGAGGTCTCCAACTTAATATTGCTCCAAGCCCAACACAATTAATTTAGGATTCTTATAATTGAGATTGAGCAACCAAAAAGAGTGGTGCACCTCATCCCTTTTCCTCTACTCGGATGTCACATGCTCATCAGTTTCTACTTCGCTCGTCCTCGAAGATTTAGAATTCAGATTCAAAACTTGGTGGCTCGACATTCTCCTACGACTTGACTACATCATCTGCTTGGACTTGAGTTGCTTGGAAGAGTATCATCACTCACATAATTCATAGGAAAATCTTCTTCGAAGCCACCAACCTAAGATTGCTTCAAGCCAAACACATTTAACTTTGGAGTTCTTGTGATTCAGCCACCGAAAAGAAATGTGCATCTTGTTCTTATACGTAGCTACCATCCATTCTTTTTAAACCTTTCTTAATCACGCTTGCATGATCTCAAGATCCCTCTAATTTGAATGTAGTGTCGATTCATTCATATACTCCTTCTCTCTGTTCGAGTGTCACATACGTTGTTCTTATTCTTCTTTCAATCTATCAAGACTACCCGATACTAAAATCTACCCTTTGAACTCTTTCCTTGCTAAATCAAATTTTCTTCTTCCGCGAAGAACACCAATTGTTTACTATTGAAAACTAGTCTTCTCTTCTTATTCCTTTTAAATCTGCATTTCAAGCTAAAATATACAAAAATAACCATAAAAATTATGGAGTAAAAGGAAGAAAACCCGATTTATTTTATTTTCTCTTTTTCCTCTTTATTTTCTTTTGATTTTCAACCTTTCCTTTTCCTTATTTTCTTAAAAAAATAAAGAAACTTAACTGCTGTCAACCACATTAAAAACTTTATTTTCCCTCCTTTCTTTCTTTTCTCTTTTCCTTTCCACTTCGAAAATAAAGGACGCTATCGTAGTTATACTCGCTTTGGTTTCATAGTTACGGTGCCAAAACTTTTGATTGTTGCTCTATTTAGTCATTATAGTTAACATCATTGATTAAATTATTCATTGATATATGTGGTAGATAACGTTACCTAAACTCTCTTTTTGAAGCTACATATCGGTTCTTCTATAGATGTTTGCCCAATTGACATATCTCCTAATCATTTAGTTTATGGTAGAGACTACATAGAATTACAATTCAAAATCACAATGGTCCAAGAAGTAATCTCATCCGCAAAGGCTTATAGTCTATAGATAACACCTACACAAAAATTATTACGTGCTTAAATCTTCAGGTAAACTAAATAAGGAAAATACTCGACGTCTCCCTCAATCAAAAAATAATTATATATTAGACGATTAATCCTTTATAGTTGATATAATTTTATTTAAATTATTTGTTATTTATTAATATTGAACAAGTTGTTATGATAAAAATATTTACTATTGTACTCGGACGTTCAAACGTTTTGTTCGATTCCAGCACTTGCGTTCTCATACCTGAAACTCTCGTGATTGATTGGGAAAAAGAGTGAAATGAATTTTCGATATTTGTTAGGGTCATAGCCTAGAAGCTTAGATTCTGGAGGCGGTCATAAAAACATAAAGGCATGAATTGTGCAAGAAGTTTTTTCGACAAATTCTCAGTGACTTGGGCGGATGAAATTGGATCTTGATTGAATTAGGAATCCAATTTATAATTCGATATGGATAAAAGATCTTCCTATATTATACTACTCAATTCTGGACGATGTATCGATTTTCTAGCTCGTTTTTTAATAGGAATTCAACTCGTTCGTTCCAAAATCGAAAATGTATTCATTAATAAAATAAATTAAAACTTATTTTGGTATTAATTAAAAAAAATTAGCTAGATTTGTAATTAACTAAAAATAAAAAATGAGTATTATATTAATATTATATGTTTAATTCCTATATTCCAATTCAGCAAACAATATCAATAAGTTTTTCGTTTCAATTTTATAAAATTAAAATAAAAAAATCATTCTCATTATTTTATTCAGATTCATTATTATTACAATGATGGTGAATAAACACCTTCGTACATTGAATCATTATAATCTCTAAATAGATTATGTATCTACTTATCCCTTAAATTTATAATCGAATTCACTGATAAAATGAAAATGGAAAATTATACTAAATGACATAAAATAAATATATATTTACAAAAATATCATCATTTTTGTTTTTTTAGAAATGGTCACAAAAGTGGTTCTTTTCCCTACATAGTATAAATTTACCATTTATGTCATTTTAAAAGTTTTAAACCTAAAGCTATATATAAAAATACAAATTTCGCTGGTGCTATTTTCGTAATTTCTCGCTATTTATTTATTCGTTTTTACTTAAAAAAAGCTGTCAAGACGTTACTTTAAAAAATTAAAAATACACATCCAAGAGAAGGAAGGGATAAAAAAAAAAGAAAAAAAAAACCCGCAGAGTTGAGGGGAAAGTACCGAAAGCTCTGTTCTTCAAATTGCGATTTCACTGTTTCCACTGGACTGAAGAACTTCCATGAAAAATGGTTCCGATTGATCCAACAACCTCTTAAATGGGTGACCAAAAAGATACGATTCATGGCTATGTCGGAGAAGCTCCGGTTGTTACGATCGATCTGTGACTGTGAAGAAGACAGAGTATCAGAAGGAGGATAAACAAATTCATGCACGTTGAACTGTTCGGAGTTGCTGATATCCGACGAGAAATTGGTCATAAGGGCGAAGGTTTATTTAGTTACTCAATCAACTCTGCTCTGATTATGTACGCTACGCTCTGATTCAGGACTGAATTGAGGCGGAGGAGACAGCGCCTGCGCCGGAGCAGTTAGTTATGGATGATAGCGAGAAGTTTGAGAAGAGGATAAGGGGCTATGTTGAGCAAGTTCGCTTGGTATTTGCATTGTCGTTCTTTTTCCGTTTAGACTCTGCTTCCAATTTGATTTTCATTTGTTCATTTGGGGTGGATGAGAAACAATCGACGAACGAATTTTTCTTCCTTAAGTTGATAATTGATGATGTTTGTGAATTAGTATCCATTTTTGTATGATCCATGGCAGAATTGTTTGCTCTTGGATATTCATTTTATCTGTCTATTTGTTGTAGTATGAGGATCCAAGTTACCAAGAATCTGCTAGGAAAACAGTTCCTGTGGAAGAGCTTCAAGAGAAAGCGCTACTCTCTCTGGCCAAGGTGCCAATTTTCTGCATTTCTTTTTTTGCTTGCTAGTTCATATAATTTTATCGGAGATCTATTGAAACGGCTCTCCCTGTTTCATTTTAAATTTTTTAATATAATTTTCTTTTCGGGGTCAGTGAGAGCAGGGTGTTTCGAAGGGTGATATATTCGGTATCAGTTGTGGTTTTAAATCCTTCCCACAACCAGATAACAAATGAGAAGATTGAACGACATATATAAGAGAGAATATGGGGACATTTCTATAGATTATGGATTCAGTTTCCTCAGCTCTACAGGGAAGAATTAGTTTAGGTTATAATAATTAGCATATAGGTTGTTAGTATATTTATATGCTATATCGAAAAGGGTGGAGCAAGGAATCTTTTTTGGGACAGGGGACAGGAGGCGGGGGGGACTTATACGAAAAAAGGAAATGGAAAATAATTTGTATTATCTGTACAAGAGATTTTCAGAAATTCTATCGGTGTGTGCTCCCTCCCTCACTCTCACAACCTGAACAAAGATGAAAAAACCTCAATAAAATAAAAAATATATATATGGCAACGGTATATTCCTATACAAATTCCAGGCATTCACAAGGTTCCTGGATCCCTCCTGGCTCATAAGAGGGAAGCTCAATTCAATAAAATTAGTTGCCTCTTTTAGTTATCTATCTATTTTCTATTGGAATCCAAAACCTAGGACTCTGATGAACTACTCTGGCATTGCTGCGCAGATAAACTTTTGACCTTATTAGTTTAAAGAAGAGTACAAATTTGGCCAAATGGATATCCAAAAGCCATGGATCCAACAAAAAGCTTACTGTAGGACCATCTTCCGCCCAAATTTTGTTGGCAAGAAAAAACTGTACAGCTTGGCTGTGGAAAACTGGAGGAAGTCTTGGTGATGCTCATAGTTTCCCAGCCAGATCTGTCTGTTCCAAACTTATTGGCACAATTTTATGTCACAAGACTTTTATCTCTATTTTTCTCTTTTTATTTTGATTTTTATGGCTTCAGATATCATAACTTATTCTGTTGCCTATGGTAAGATATAGATACCAAAATATCCTGGAATTTTGTGGCATTTTACTGTTAATGCCTTCTAATTGCATGTATTTTTTGAATCCCTGCCTTGGATTTTTGTGGCTTTGCAACTTTCCACCGGCTTCGTTACTATTCTTCTGCAGTTCTTATTGTTTTTAAGCAAGAACTTTATTTTTTAAGGTTTTGTTGCTCTAGCTGAATAGGTCTTGGGAATTTCATGTTATAAGCTTGTGAATGCTTGACAATTAGTCATTTTGGTGAGCTTTTGTAGGAGGGAAAGCACGGACCATCCAAACTGGAACAAGACCATGCTTTCTTGTTGCAGCTTCTTTTCTGGTTCAAACAATCATTCAGGTACTTACTGTGGACAACTGCATTGAATGAATTATTAAATCTGTAATTATTTTCAGAGTCCACAAAAATATTATTTTGAGTTGTAAACCTAGGTCAATATGCTTCTGTAGTTTCTTATGGATATTATATGAATCATGTGATGCATTTTCCCCCTTATGTATAATGCTAACATCATTGGTAGTTGAAACTTCTGCTTTCATGTATTACTGTGAAGATGGGTTCATGCACCTCCTTGTGAACATTGTGGAAATGTGACAACACTTCAAGAGAAGGGTGTTTCACTTCCTTCAGAACTTCAGTTTGGTGCTTCCCGAGTTGAACTCTATTGGTATGTGGTATGGACCCTTTAGGTTAGGCTTATTCTTATACTTCTGGATTCGTCATTCTATATTGCAAGACTTCGTTTCTATGTTCTTACAGTTACCATTATGTTAATTATACTCTTTGCCAAATTATAGAGAAAATTGGGCATAATGAATTGTTTATACTTTTGTCTTGCTACTTGTGTGATTCGCCGTTTCTCTGCCTACATGTACATCTGATTGAGTGGTGTGCAATATGTTGTGTTTTGATTACCACCATGTTACATTTTAACAATGATACCATATGCTCTATGTATGAGTAGTACTATTTGCCTTTTCCTAGTCAATATTTTTATCATGCATAAGAATCATTCTCATTCAAGCCCATCAAGTCTTATTTGGAGACTTTACCTCGAAAGTCAATTAAGAGTGAGTTTAGCTTCACTTTTAGAAAAGTGACTGATTAGAACCATTTTTTAAATTTATTATGCCTTTTGGCTACCAAAAGTGCCTTTCAAAATTCTAACACTTAAGTTCTTTTAGAGCGAATGTTTAATTAGTGTTGTTTCCCGAAGTATACAACAAATACTCTTAAAAAAATCATCACAAGCTCACTCTAAGTGTCACATAGGCAATGTCTTCAAAAGCTACCCCAGTGATAGGGAGCTCTATTATCTATTATATTATAGCCAAGATGAAACCATAATAGGTTGCCTTCACTTTAATACATGCCTCCATTGGATCAAGGTTTCTTATAATCTGTGATAGTGATACTAAACAAATCCAACCTTTTCCATCTCTTCGAGTAGGGATCATCAAATCATACTTTCTCCGTAACTATCAATCTTCATTTATGATCATCCCTTTCCTATTTGAGATCTTCTCAATCCACGTCAAATAGTTGTCACTGCTATATTTCAAAGGAAGATCTGATTGTCGGGGAAGGAAGTTTTCTAAGATGTTCATAAAGCCACAAAAGTACATAGAAAAAGTACAGTATCATTCTTGTCACTCTTAGACAACAAAAAGAAAAGAAAAGAAGCATAATGTCAGTCTTCCAGTGTGTACAAACATTTTTTGCCAAAGCTAAAAGAAAAGAAACATCCAATGGCTAAGAACAGAATGCGGGAAAGATAAAAAGGAACTTAAAGAGACTTCCATCTTTATCTGATGAAGAAAATATTTTATACATTTGTCTTCTGTCACTCTCTGAATTAAAAGCCACTTTGTCAATCTTATCCTTTTTGAACGACCCCTCAGTCCAATCTTGAAGACTTAAGACTGGCTGAACTGGGGAGACGACTATTTCCAAACGTGTTCAACTTTTTGATAGTGACAAATGATAGGCATCAAGGTTTAGTTTGTGGTTTTTGGTTTACTTGGTGAATGGTAGAGTTGCCTCACGTATTTCATCTTCTGCTTTTTTTTTCCTCCTCTAATCTTCGTCTTCTTCTTTTTCTCTCTTTTCTTTCTTCTTTTGACACCTCCAGCTGTACTTCATGTCAAAAGGTTACTCGTTTCCCACGCTTCAACAATCCAATAAAGGTATTCAAATTTCTTTATCCAATCAAGAAATCTCCATATAATCAAACAGGTCTTAATTTCACTCTTACTCTTGCATGCAGCTTATTGAAACAAGGAGGGGACGCTGTGGAGAATGGGCCAATTGTTTTACATTTTACTGTCGTGCTTTTGGATATGAATCTCGACTGGTGAGTTGTCTCATGATTTGGTCTTTTTTTCTTAAATAATGTTGAGGGAAAAGATACTGAGGCTATATGTCTTAATATATGGTGAAGCCTTCAATTGTTTTGATTAATTACAATTTGGAACTGACGACCTTCCATGCTATAAATAAAAAAAGAATTGAATGGTAAATAAACAGATGCTTTTCTGGAATGGGTAAAGATCCTTGTGTCAGTGATTACAAAATCCTCTCTAGTTAGTTTCCATAAAGAGGAGGTACATTGAAAAGATATTTAGAGGCAAAGCACCACCTAAGAAGGATATTATTGCTTTCTAAAATTGGTTATGTTTATAAGCATTCGACATTTGTTCAAATAAGTAAAAGGCAAGTTCTCAAACTAGAGTGGACATGTTTCATACTTGATAGTTCCAAATACATTACATGTTCTATTCTATGATTGGTGTAACGAAATGATTCTTTTTGAGTTTGGGATAGAGTAATAAGTGTGGTGAGTTTCATATATGATGGAGAGAAATGTAAAGGATTTTGATAATCCTGTTCTTGTCTGATTTTGTTGAATTTATTCAGGTTAGGGGAAGGAAAATAGTGTAGGGGGTAAGATAATTTGAAAGTATATGGTTAGAGTGATCCTATTTGGAAAGTAAATATCTGAAGTGCATTGGCTTACTGCCTTGAGCAGATAAGGTTCATGCATACATGCGAGAGAAGAATTATCTGGGTTTTCTTAGAGATGAAGAAAAAGTTTTTATTAAATTAGTGTACTCCGTTTAGTATTATGAAATAAACCCCTTTACAATCAGAAAATTTAAACTCTAAAAAGGTTATGAACATCTCTAGTAGAAGTTACAACATATGGAAAATTAATAAAAAATGATTCCCAAATTACACAAAATATCCTACACCAACTCCTTCACCCCACAGTATATTTGTCTTCAAATAGCCTTTGATTTCCTTCTAAGTTCTAACTGTAATTATGAAGTAATTGCCTTCACTGCATTTGTCCAAATCAATTTAGCTTTGCTTTTGAACTCAACTCCAAAGAGAAGTTATAGAATATTTTACTTGACATCACAATTCCATCACCCAAGTTTTTAGATTTACTTCTTTTAAGAAGAATCTGTAGACTGATAGAAATTTGGCTCTTTTGCACTAATTTATGTTCATCTCCAGATTCTTGATCTTACAGATCATGTTTGGACCGAATGCTTCTCTCATCTTTTAGGGAGGTTAGTTTAATTTATACTGCTGTTCTTCTGTATTCCCTCCCCGCCCCTTTTTATGATAGTAGATTTGTATTACTGAACTATTCCGATATGCTTTTAAGTCTTTGACTGCTATTATTACTCAGATGGATGCATCTAGATCCCTGTGAAGCAGTATATGATCAACCATTGTTGTATGAAAAGGGGTACTAATTCTATTATCATTTCATTACAATACCAGGTCTTTGGTGATCAAAAATAATCTTTTACTCAACTGATCAATTTCCTTTTTCTTTTTGCAGGTGGAATAAGAAATTAAATTATGTTATTGCAATTTCTATAGACGGAGTTCGTGACGTCACTAAACACTACACGAGGAAATGGAATGAGGTATGAAGTAATGACACTGTTTGCCCCTCAATTTAATTTTCAACTCTGCCAAAGAAAAAGAGAACAATATGAATGATCGTCTCCTATTGTGTAAATTTTTGCCTGTTAATTTATGCATGATTTTGTTTTCTTGTAAAATTTCAGGTTTTATCTCGTAGAAATATCACTACAGAGGAGATCTTATCAAATATGCTTGCAGAAATAACAAGACAATGCCGGTCGGCCTTTACATCTGAATTACTGTCTGAACTTGAAGATCGTGATAAAGAAGAAAAGCAAGCAAGGGAGATAGACACTCATTCTATGGACGATTCTTCAGTTTCATTACCTGGAAGACAAAGTGGAGACAAGGAGTGGCGCAAATCAAGATTGGAAACTGGTTCTGATGAGGAGGGCTCTTTCAGTTGTTCTGCATGTCCTGTTCGTAAATGTGTAGATAAGCATGTGACACGGATTTATAGTGCACTTCATTCTATTCTATCTCAACTTCTCGATAAAGAATTTTCTGGTTCCACAGCTATTGAAGTACTGGTATTTATTCAAGGGATTGTAACTACTCTCAAGAAATCTGCCTTTAGGACAAGAAGGGCATTGGTCGATTCAGACGCAATTGGGATGAAACCCCTTTTGCAACGGTTGTTTCCTTCCTTGAAGGATTTTCTTGGTGCTATGTCATTAGATTGCAGTCTAGACACTGATGGGAGGGTTGACATTTGGTTGGCCAGTGAGCCTATTTATACCTCTTTAGCATTGCCTGTTGTGCTAGATGCTCTTGAAGAAATAATACAAGATATAAAAAAATGTGATACTTTTGGTAGAGCTTTTTTATGTCTTCCTCGTCTTAAGTTAAACAGAATACATTCTGGCTCAGTCCTTGCAAGTGGCGAGGAACTTCCTTTTGGAATAGTAAGTTCTGTTTTACCAATGCTGATGATTTATCATGTGAAGCATGCGTCTCACAGATTTTTTCTCTTCTCTTGTGAACTTACAGGCAACGTCAGCATTTGATGGGATTCGTTTATCAAAATGGGAAGAGCCAAGTGGTGCAAGAGGTATGTACTAATTTTGAATACTGAGAACAAGAACATGAAAAGCAAACATAGCTTCAAGGCCTCTTTTGTTTTCTCATCTACAAAATTACATTACATAGTTCCTGGAATATCTCATACAACTTATTCTTTCTTTTTTTTTAATTTAATCTAGAAAGTACTGTCAAAGCATGTTGCTATGTAGTATGACTAATATCTACTTTCGCCTTCTCGTCATCACATAGAATAAATTATATACAATGGGAGGTCATCTTGACCCGCTGTCACAACTTCTGCTAGTTTGTTTTTTCTTTCATGTAGTATTCTTCTATGCTTCCTCTTGTAGGTTGTTGGATCATGTACAAGGTATTAGACAACCGGATGGAAGAACTCGTTGCCTATGAGTTGATGTCAGCTAATGATGCACCTGAAAGGGATCCAATGGATTGGTATTATTTTCTAGGCAGTTCTTTTTATCTCAATGAAAGCTGGGTTTCTTATCAAATAAAAAATATAGAAAAATTCTAGGCAGTTCATCAAATTTTGCATTTGTATAATGTTGCCTTGTGGTTTCATCATGAAGTGACTTCTTATGGAGAATTGGTTGAATAGTTTGGACTTTAGTTGCTGTACCCGATGTGCAAATTCTGTACTTACAAAAAGCCTGTTAGTTTGGTGATGAAGTCCTGAATACTATTATAGACTGGAGTTGAGAAAGGACAGAACTTCTAAGATTATTTTCATTACGGTGTTACTTTGCCAATTCTGTGGCAGGATTGTTGAAGGTAGTGAAGATGGGGGAACCAGTTGGCATCTTCTCGATGAACAGACAAATCAGATGTTCGAAAACCGTTTTCAACGTCGGAGTTTCTTTATTACTGAAACCGGTCACTTATCAAATGCTTTCAGGTAAATTCTATTATTGTCTGCAACATTGAAGCACCGTTATTCACACTTTACTAACTTGTAATCATGGAGAGCAGGTTTAGATTCTTGACGGTTTGTGATATCAAGGCGACGTCAAAGTTGCAAATTGGTAGCATTGATTTGTATGCTTGAAGTTATTAGCTCAGTAGACTGAACCTGGCATCAATATTGTGAGTTCTCTTCATGGTGGTATACTAGACAGCATGAAATGAAGGTCACATGATTTACTTGTGTGGAATGGTAAAATTCCATTATTGAAACACCCTTATGTTCATACTGAGTTATCTTTAACCTCTCTCTTAAATGTTCAAGTCATATCACAAACCCTAACCATATTTGACAGTTTTTATTGCAGTATCTTTAACTTCACGACCCCGATAGAACCGCATTCGTCATCGAAATGATTTTGAAGGGTTGCTGAGTGTAAAACAGATATTCAAAATCCCTTGGTATAACTTAAGTAATTTATTTCTAAGGGATGAATGTAACTAGATGTGAATGATCCTATTCCGACTTTGGAACAAAAATGGGAGAAATTGAATGTGGATTGATCGTATTATTTTTGTTTTTGTATTTTAAGTTAAGCTTATGAAAGCAACTATTTACATCTCAATTCTCGAAAGAACACACGAAATTTGATCCAAATTTCAACGAAACTATTTTTTTAATTGGTAGTTATCTTATTTTTCATGTTTTATTTTCAATAAATTTTAAAAAAGACATTCAAGTTACTTTTTTTTTTCAAAATATAAATATAAGTATTATTTTGTTATTTTGCTATTTTTTATTTTTAGAATGCATAATATATATCAACAAATTAATATAACATAAAATCTTGAATATTTAATTTAAAAAATTAAATTTTATGTAAAACTTTCTTTTTTTTTGTTTTAAAATTTTAAAGAATAAGAAAAAAATGTTTATCAAATATATTATCAAACCTAATTATATTTTTTCCTTTAGGTTGAAAATGAGAAAAAAAATACAAAAATGTCACTAAACATTTTTGTTTTAAATTGGGCTTCAATGTTTGAAAATACATTACAAAACAAAGAAAATATTAGTAAACATACACAACTTTTAAAAACATTAACGTTATCAAACAAGTCAACTTTAATTAATTGGACTATGCTCATGTTGTCGGTTGTATAAGTCAGCAGTTCAAGATCTTAATAGGTGATTGATCTTAATAGGTGATTTATTAGTATGGTTGGGTCAACCTTATTGAGTCTAAATGATACATCCTTCACCACATGCATAAACAAAACCACCATCCTTATATTCTTTAGAATGGCTGATTTAATCTTTCTCAACCATGTTCAAGCAGAGCTAAGAGTTAGAGAATTTATCACCATGATCATCCTTGTAAACCTTATAATGTGCATAGGTGCGAAATATTGAATGATGTAACGCAGCGCCACCAATCGAACAGGTATACAAACCGATCAAAATTCCAGGATATGACATCGACAGTCGTTATAGTTCTTATCTTTATGGCAAATTGATCTTTGGTATCGATTACTCATAATCATATGAGAGAGACAGTCCATGATTCGTCTCTCGTCGTGCTCAGTGATCCTCGATCTTCTTCAGACCCTTCATGTCTGTTGTTTCAACCCTGCATAACAGATCAACTCCAACATATTACCAAGCATAGAGAAGTAATGAAAATTGAGTTGGAACTCCTTTTCCTCTATTCCATTCCCACCATTTGTCACAACCACAATATAATGTACAATACATATTTAGAATACACTACATGAGATTAATTCATGAGAACCATAGTCTGTGCTCGATACTAGAGAACAATACATGCATCACTCAACATGGATAGAACACGAAAAGGGGAACTCGAGAGGACTATTCATTGTATCAGTACAATGTTGCTGATAAGAAACATGTACAGTAATGAAAGAATCTACAAAGAGATGGGATTTTAAATCTTCGTTAACCAAGATCAAGTAATGATAAAAGTGGAAAAACACTAGATCTACCATGATGTCATTTAGCTTCCCCTTAACTTCACAAGTAATTCTAAAATTTATGCTAAAGATTACTGGCATAATGACGTTATGCCTAATTGTTATCCTTCTCAAAAGGTCTCATGAGCCAAAGCTCTGAAAGAATTTGCCAAAAATCCTCCATCAACTATTATTCTTTTTTTCTTTTCTTTTTTTTCTTTAAATGAGAACTCACACTTCCATTGAGAAAAAAATGAAAGGATACAGTGCAAACAAATTCTATCAAATATTCTATTGAAGAAAGACATGGTGTAACCAATAAGGGTGACCTTTCTTGAGATTTGTGACTAAAGATGCACCCTTTTTAAACCCTCACTCTCTCGCAAATATATGCTTTCATGAGACTACCTAACAAACTCTATACTGAAGACCTTGAGAAAAATTGTGAGTGATAGATTGGGGTTAATCTGACCCCTTAGGATGTGCGTGCACATGCCATCACTCAGTTATTAGACAAAGTAATTAAAATATAAAGTCATCACACCAAAGCTTGCTGATTGTGCAATAGAGTAATTCAGTTAGCACATACCAAAGGGTACATAGAAGACAAAATTAACTCTAATGAAATGTTAAGTTAATGGTTGGAGCAACTTACGTTGTTCCATACAGGGCAATCTTTTGAACTTTCGTAGTGTCAGCCCCAGATTGGTTATCCTCTATAAAAATTGTCAAGCTGACAAACATACAAATTATTCAGAACAATCAGCTGATACTTTCAACATAAGATCTAAAAGAAGACAATCAACATAGACTATAGATGTGATTTACCTACGGACATTTTGAAATTTAACGTACTTTACAACTTCTGGCTTTCCCTACAGAGAATAAAGATAAAACAATAATGCTCCAGTTCCATTATAAAGTATAGTGGTCTCCCCTAAAACAAATTTCATTTTTGTGATGAGATATGGTACAGGCATGGGAAAATTTACCGTAAGATTATCTGGTGAAAACACAATTGTGTCACTGGGAGGGAAGTCATTGACGTTGCTGCAGCATTCATGAAACAGGAAATAATCAATTGATAATATGTCGAAACACTTGCAGTAAATATCAATTCAAGCACACAATTTAGTTTACCCAAATCCCATATTCTCCTTGTTTGAGAAAAGCTTTACAGTCCTAGGGCCTGGAGAACAACCTTAATGTTAGAGTCCTGCGATTTGTCAGTTAAGCAGAATAAAAGAGTGATGAAAGACAATATGTACGTGCTTTCCTGATAAAGTGTTTGCAGGATTCCATTGCAATACTTTTTCATTTAATAAGAGATATTACAATATATTTTGTTGTATGGAAGAAGTATATATAGATACGGGAGCAACAAAAGAGAAGGGAGGATTAGGATTAGATGTCCTCCTACAGCCAAGAATTACTAAAAGAACTTCTAAATTGGCTGAGATTAAGAAAAGGGTTCACTACAAAAGTTTCTGGTAGAAAGCCAAGAAAACACACCAAACTCAAGGTTGTCTTTCTCCCTAACACACAGAAATTCTCTCTCTCCATAGTCCATTACTCCCTCACCATGCCAAAAGGTAGCAGTGGGGCAAGAGAACAAGACTGGAGCTCTGGAGGGACTAGGGAGTGGATAACCCGGAATAACAATAATCAAATAATAAAAGTTAAAAATGGAATTACCATACCTCAGTGGCCATATTGGATATGTAAGACATGTTATGAAAAATTTTGATGACAACAGATTAGATGAACCATAATTATACATGACAATCAATTGTAATAGAGTACTAACCTTCCTCTTCAGGTCCTTTAATGACCACGGAATGCAATTTAATGACTTGGTTAAATGGTATGTATATCAGAAGTTGCTCATCGGCATCACTCTCCAAAAGCAAGCTATCATTGTCCCTACAAGTCTAATTTAAGAAAAAAATTTGCTTCAAGCCCTGGGTATAATAATTTCTCACAGATATTGGGAAAAAATTAATGGGAAAAGAGATGCCTATTTTCTCATAAATTTTTTAAAAAATAATAATAAATCAACTTTTATTAAGATGAGCGAATGTACGAAACGAGTGGCCTAAAAAGAAGATCCAAACAAATCAGCAATCTAAAAACAGAACAAGAGGTTGCTATAATAGTTAAGAATAAAAATTAAAGGATAATTACAAAACACTTTAGATGAAAACACTGAAAAAAGAGAGATATCAAAATGTTCCACAGTCCAAACCTCTTCCCAAGACTTATTTATACCCTTAAAATTCTTATTTCTCTCCTGCCATAAATTCAACAAAATAGTAAAGAAAACTGTTTGCCAAAAAAACAGACCCTAATTATGAAAAATGGGGATTGACAAGCACCTTCTCCACCATATCCCATACAACATCTAGGAGTAGTCAAACTGACTCCAAATGTGTCCAAAAATCAATTCTAGTTTCACGGAAAAGGTGACATCTCCATAGCAAATGATCTTCATCTTTAATTGCGTTCTTACACAACACACACCACTGAGAGCCCAGAACCGTAGCTGAAGATCTTTAGACAAAGTTCATGGTGTGTGATTAATCTCTTCAAAATCATGGTGAAATAGGGAGGGGGTAAAACAACAAAAGATGACAGATGGCTCAAGAACCCAACTGTGCAAATCAGTAACATTTGAATAAAAACGAACACCTTGTAATATACACAAAAAAAAGCAACGAAAACAATAATAATATTAGATTAATCTTGCGACACGTTATCAGAAAGATGTCTTTTAAAATGAAATTAAAAATCAAGAGGGAAGGTAAGAAGTTCGACGTTTTGAACTAACAATGAATTGACCAACGTCTCTTTTCAAAGGAAAACATTATAAAGGTGAGGAGACGTTCAAAAGGAAATTTTTTCCATAAACAAATTTAATCTAGTTGATAATGCACAGTATACAATAGCAAATGACTCTACCAGGACTTTGAATGTGCCTTTAGTCTTTACTTTAGAGACCAGAGATTTGATCCACCAGTGCAGAGAGTGACAGCCATACTTACTCACAATAATCATATGCCATAAAGAATTAGACTGAATATTTAGACTCTAAGGAAAAGCGCCACAACCACTTGCCAAGAGAACTAAATTCCTATTCGCCAACTTCCCCCATACCTATCCCAACCTCGCTGACCCCCTTGGTCACAACTTCCCATCTTAGAAGATTCAACCCCCTCCCTCCTCCACACCTTCCCACATAAAGTTTCTTACAAAGATATTAAAATCAAAAGACTTGCAATTAGAGAGACAGAGAGAGACGTAAATTAATATCTTGAAAGAACGTGAATCTAGCTCACCATCATCTTCAACTTCATTAAATCGAGAAATGAACTATTCAACCATGTAAGGAAATTCAAGAACTATAATGAGTAATTGTAACTGACAAACAGCTCTAGTAAAAAATGACAAACAGCACCTGATTAAGAGCATTAGTAAGAGAGTGGCTGAAATTCTGGTTAAGGCACTCGACACCAGACCAGTTAATGAAGTCGGACAGATCAACCTGGTTATATAAGTGAAGCACAGTATGAGAATCTCTGATATCGTTTCAAACTTGAGAACAAGAAAAAAAGAGGAAAAAGAAACTCTCCAATCCTCAAAACCCAATCGTCAGATTCAAGAACTAACACCATCTTTCATGATCCCTCGAAAATTAAACAAGAATTTGAAAACCCAAACGCCGCAAAAACCTGAATCACTCACCTGATTCCGATGAATAGCGGTGGCAGTGGCAGTGGCAGTGGAAGTGGCAGATGCGGCAGCCATGGGTAATCGACGAGAGGAATACAGAAAAAAGAAGAGTGGGAATTGATTTTCTCTCTGTAAACTCCAATGGCAATGGTCTCCAAACTCAAAAGTGGTCGCGTCGGGGCGGAGAATCGCTGTGGTCCGGTAGGAATCGCCCTTGACCCGAAATTTTGCTTGGGTCATACCCGATAACCCGATTCAAGCCCAAATACTTTTTTTTTTTTTTTAAGAAACTCAACTCCAAAGTTTTCTTATTTTTTGGCAAATATTTGGTTAAACTATAAATGTGTCTATATTTTGACATCTAACTTATACAAATCATTTTGATCTTATTTGGTTCTTTGGATTAATATTCTTACTCAAATATTGATGTATCATGTTAATTGAACTAACAAGTGATGATTTTACACGACATAATAAAAGTAAGCTAATTATCATAAAATAAAAGCCAACTGACCGATAAGTTCAATGAAATATATACATAATTTGTTGTTTCGTACTCTCTTCTCTTTCATGTATGTTTGTTCTTTTCTTTCTATATTCTCTCGTTCTTACATTCGTAGACTCATCTACTTTCATGTAATCTAAAGTTTGTTTCTCTTTCTTGCTCTTACAACTAAATTTACTAGTTTTACTTTTTTCTTCCCATCATCCACCAATCATTTTTGACCTATTGTAAATAAAGTGAATGAAAACCATTTTGTATTTTGTGTGATTTGTACGAGATTATAATCCGTATTCTCAAGAGTTTATGTATGACTCTATGTGCTGCTTTTATGTAATCTTTATCAAGTAGAGTTAATCGATCATGAATGATATACCACGACCTTTTTTTTTTTGCATTAGTTTGCTTTAGTTTTCTTTAATGATATATTTTAGTGGATAATGGTAATGTTTATGAACAAAAATGTCATCTTGAAACTATATTGAAGGTAACAACAGAGTATAAATTAGTTGGTAAGACAAAAGATGTGTTGGTTTGACTTGCCATAGATTAAAAATTTAGGTCACATCTATATGAAAATCGAAAAGTGGTAATGAGTTAATGGCTACAGTTGTGATCACATCCCTCTACTAATAAGTTTATTATAGATCACTAAACTTTATTGATATCCAATATACATGCAACAATATTAGAAAATAAGACAACTAACGACACTATTTAAGGTGCATCGTTTGACATTAGTGGAGTTAATGAAGAATAGCGACTTGATGTAGTAAAAATCAAATCTCATTTACAAAGCACTCATTAGAGGACAACAATAGGAAAACCAGGTTAATTAGAAACTTCTAACCTTTTTTAAGCACAGAACTTTGACAAAATAGTTGAACGCATATAGCTCCTTAGTTTGTATAGAGAGAGTCAATCTTTTATCATTTAAGTGTAAGAAGTTCGATAGCTCTATTACGTAGACAAAGTTAATTATGTCACCATTATAACACAAGCGATCACACTCGAAGTATGTCCATTTCTTTTTAACAAAGATTAAGTATATTGCAAGGAAAAATATGGATCTCATAACCTGAAATAAGACACAAATAGAATAAAGAAACCTACCAAAGAAACTACACAAATACCAATAAAAAAGTCAACAACACAATTAAAGCAAACAAATGACTAGTCAAAGTAAGCATAGCTTAACGAGAATTGACATATATCTCAAACTGAAGTTGTGAGTTTCATCTCCCACCCCCCACATATTGTATTAAAAAAAAGCAAACAAACAACAAAATAAACAATAACAATCACATGGCTCGTGAACGAGACAAAACATAACAGTAGCCACTCGGCTATTCTAAGTTTATTTTTAATTCAAATAAAGAGTGAAAAAAGAAAAGCCACCAAAATTGAATCAAACCTACCTCCCCCATTGAGCCTCTTACCAACCCCAAATGTCCATTTCACATAACCCCATACCAAAAAGTTCCTCTTTTTCTTCTTCTTCTTTTTAGATAATAACAATTTAAAAATTAAAAAAAACCACAAAACAAAAAATAGAAAAGAAAGGGCAAAATCAATAGCCAGTGAAGTAAGAATTGGATAAACAGAGTGGGGAGAACAAAAGAAGAAGAAGCTCAAAAACCTCATCCATGGCTTCCCTCTCTCTCATCTCTCCACCTTCTCTCTCTTCCTCCCGCCATGTTTCCTCCATAGCCAATCTCCTTCTCCGCTCCCCAAAACCCCTAAATCTCTCCGCCCACAACCCCCACCATTGCCGACCTCTCTCCGTTCACGCCCGCTCCGTCTCCACTCTCACTCAGGACG